CTTGGGTCGTGTTCTCGCTTTCTCGGGCCCTGGTTCGTTTCTCGGCCCCTGGGTCGTCATTTCGTTTGCACTGGTTCGTTTTCTCGTTGTCGTCTCGTTTTGTCGGCCTCTGGGTCGTGGTCTCGTGTTCTCTGACCCTGGTTCGTTTTCTCGTTTTCTCTGCCCCTGGGTCGTGGTCTCGTTTTCTGTGACCCTGGTTCGTTTTTTTCTGACCCTGGTTCGTTTTCTCGTTTTCTCGACCCCTGGGCCGCGATCTCGTTTTCTCGGACCCTGCTTCGTTTCGTGTTTTCTCAGCCCCTGGGTCGTGGTCTCTTTTTCTCTGACCCTGGGTCGTCGTCGTCGTCGGTCGTCGGTCGTGCGTCGTCCGTCGTCCGTCGCCGTCTTCGTATGACCTCGTCTTCGTCGTGACGACCACGACGAGGTCATACGAAGACGGCGGCAATGACGGCGACGGCGGCGACGACGACGACGAGGACGGCGTCGCACCAAGACGTCGAGCGACGGCGACGGCAACGACGACGGCGACGGGGATGAGCGTCCGGCAGGGGGAGTTCAAGGGAGGGGGGTGGTAGCTAAGCCGCAGGGGGGAGAAGAATGGAGGGAAGGCGGGGGAGCCCTTCCAGCAGAGGGGGGCCAAAGGAGCGGGGGGGTAGCTACGTTCCCCTCCTCTTTTGTAAGGGGGGGGGGGTAGCTTCCCGGGTGCCGAAAGGGGGGGAGGTGGGGGAAGGCTGCTAAGCCCCCCCCCCCTTGGGAACCAAAGTGGGGAGGGGCAGGTAGCTTCCGGTAGAGGGGGGTCAAGGGGAGGGGGGGGGTGCTAAAAGCCCCCCCCTCCTTTTGGAAAGGGGGGGAGGGGGGGGGGGGTAGCTTCGGAGTGGCGAAAGGGGGGGAGGGGGGGGGAGCTTCAGGGGTGAGGCGAAAAAGGGGGGGAGGGGGGGGGAGCTTCCAGCAGGGGAGGTGGAAGGGAGGGCGAGGGTAACTAAGGGGGGCCCCCCCCCCTTTGTTTTGGCGCTGTGGGCGCGCTCTCTCAAGCATCAGGGGCGTAAGGTCACATTCCGCGACTTTCAGCACGCCGAGCTTGCCAACATAATCGCAATGAGCTTGCCAACATAATCGCAATTGGATGGCACATAATGAACCGTTTGCGCGACGAATTAACGAGCAAATGGTGCGTGCTCCACAGCAGACTCTAGCGATTCAACGGCGCGAGAACGCCGACTGTTATGCACGTTTGCGCCTCGTAGGCGCATACCGAAAACACGCTCTGGACACTACGACGTGCACGGCGAGGTATGCTACGACTCATTGTGAACATTCTCGCCAGGAGAGCACCCAACAAAACACAGCAGCCGACACCGATGCCCACTCCAACCCTCACAAACAGACGACATCACCAACGTCGAAGTTGATCAAGGCTTCGAGCCGTTGGAGACATTCGTTTTGCATAGCTGCGCATGCGGCTACAGATCTCACCACCCCCTTTCACGTGGACGAACACGAACGAACGAACGAAATGCCATACGCCGGAGCGCGTGGGCAAAAGAGGACCATGCCAGCCAAGGCTCACCGCTTTGCGGGGGCGGCTGCACGTCGGCTGCCTCTTAATTCACACGTGGACGAACAGCCGATAGTAAAATACACAGGCAAATGGCGATGGGGCAGAGCGAGCAGCGACACAATCACACCACGTGCGGACAAGACTCGCTGCAGCTTGGGAGCCGCAGGTACCCGTGGGTAACGCAAACGGTGGCGCGACGACGTATCTCAGCTCATTGGCAATGACACTTGGGGGGATACTCCAGATTTCGTAATAAAGGGAGGGTGGGTCTCATTTCGGGGGGGGTCTCTTCCAGGCTATCTTGGAGGGCCTGGGGGGGTCTGGGGACGATGTTTTGCAGGGTTCTCCCAGGTCCAGACCCCCTCCCTTTTATTACGGAATCTGGAGTACCCAACATTGGTTGGAGTATGCCTGCGATCGGTTGGTATGGGACAGTTGCCAACGCGCTTTCCCCAAGCACTTGCGGTACACAGACCCCGGCGCACCCGCGCAGCATTCGAGGGGCACGTTGGCTGGCCAGCCGGCGGACTTGACGCGCCCCGCTCCGTTTCGCTCACCCGCGTCGTGGCCCTGCAGGGAGCGCCACCTACGGATTCGTTGGGCGCCGACGTATGGCGCACGCTCCCCCAGTTCAGCGCATCGCTTCGGAGCTCCACCTGCGGTCTCATGGGGCGCCGGCATATGGCGGAGCCGCGCCCACTTCGGCACACCCCTCACACGATTCGTGGCCCCATGGGGAGCTCTTAAAACAGGGCTAGGATCGGGATAGATCGCTCCAGAGCGTTCCTGAGCGCTCTCAGAGCGTTCCGGAACGCTCTGGAGCGGCTGCGGCGCCCAATACATCCTCCCAACCCGCCGATTCTCAGAGATTTCGAGTTATCCCGATCCGATTTTGTCCCGATGTTCGCTTCGTTTTAGCTCTACCCAGGGCTTCCGTGGGTGGCGACCTATGGTGCACGCAGCGCGATGTTTGCACGCCCCTCACAAGGGTCGCGGCCCCGTGGGTAGCTCCGTCTACGGTGCCAGCGGCCGCCGGGCACCCACGCTCCAATTCCAGCACGCTTCCGGCATCTCGCCCAACCCGCGCCGACACCGACAACAAGGACTTTCTTTTCCTCCTCCTCCCCCTCTCCTCCTAACTTTTTACATGTCTCGCATTGCATGAATCCAGACACCTCAGATCCTAGAGGCCCTGGCCTCACCCACCTGGTCTGCCCTAGGCCCGGACGCTGTCCGCAACGGTGGTCGCATCGCATCGCATCCCACTCTTCTCACATGCTTCGCTCCATCCGTCACGTGGATCGTGGCCCCGTGAGGAGCTCCGCTTACGGCTCAACTGGGAGGGTCCGCATGGCGGCGCCACCAATTTCAGCGCACGCCTCACGAGGATCTGTCGTTTCGTGGGAGCTGCATGTATGCCCTTACTGGGATGGTCCGCATGGCGGCGCTGCGCATTCGCAGCGCACCCGTCACGAGGGCTTTGGCCTTGTAGGGATCTTCACCTACGGCAGCAGTTGCAGTGTCTGCCCATTCGTGCACACGTATGTTTGCACGGCATACGGCCTCAGCGAGGATATTTATTTCCATGTGCATTCTCGCCTTTACCGGCACACCGTTCACGGGAACCCCACCTATGTCCTCAGTGGGGAAAATCGTATGCGTATTCCCGCGCATGTTGGCGTACCCTTACGTCTACGTTTTGCGTCTTCGATGGAGCTCCATATACGGCCCCAGTTGGGGACCTTGCATGCGCTCCCCTCGCCCATTCCGGCATATCTCTCACACGGGCTTTGCATCGACAAGTTCATTGCGGACGGGGCTAGGACGAGGATACATCAGTTCCAGAGCGTCCCGGAATGCTCTCAGAGCGTTCCAGAACGCTTTGAGAAGGCCGCGTCGCTTGAGACATTCTCCAGAGCGGCCAGATCTCAGAGATTCTCGATTTACCTTCACCCCATCTTAAATTGGTCCTGGTTTCGTCTTATCATTGCCAACGCTCCTCCTGGGAGGCCCCAGCGGAGCGACGCCTCACGCGCACTCAGACGAGACCTCACGGCTCCCTGCGAGGGCTGCCACTTGCGCAACGGCCGCCACTATCATGGTGCCCTCCCCGAGGATGCACAAGAACATCTACAAGCACGAAGAACAGTAGGGTACCCTCTCCAAACCGACCTCGATCTTATACTTCGGTCCGAACTTACCTTGGACCCGCGCTGAACCCCCCTCCCTGGCGCGCGGAGCGGCGCCGGAAGCGCCGCCAATGGGGTTCAGCGCCGGTCCAAGAAACCCGAGGGGACCTCCGAAAGTTCACGTTTACCGGCGGCGCCAGAAGCGCCGCCAAAGGGGTTCAGCGCCGATCCAAGAAACCCGCGCGGACCTCCGAAAGTCTACGTTTACCGGCGGCGAGCGAGGGGGGAAGCGATAAGGGGCGGGCCTTCTCAGCAGGCCCCGCGGCCTTTTGAGAAGTGCTCCGAGCCCGCCCCGAAGACGCCGAGCTGAGCAGCTCGCAAAATGCGCGAGGGTTTCTGCGAGGTCTCGCCACCTTCGAGAAGGCCTGCTCGTTCTCTCGGGTTGACCCAAAAGGGGGTCCGGCGACAAGGGGGTGGTGCAAAAGATTAGGTGCAATATATTTGTGGGGTTGCAATACATTTGTGGCGTGCAATGCATTTCGGGGCGCAAATGGATTGTTGTATTCTCGCGTGCCATACATTACTTGTAATACGATGCAATACAATTCTCTACCACCCCTTTTCAGCTGGACCCCCTGCTGCTGGTGCTGCTGCTGCTACTGCTGGTGCAGTTGCTGGTGGTGCTGCTGCTGCTGCTGGTGCTGGTGATGGTGTTGCTGATGTTGCTGCAAGTGCTGCCGGTGTTGCTGCAGCTGCTGCTGCTGCTGCTGGGGTTCCACTTGTTGCTGCTGGTGCTGCTGCCGGTCCTGGTGGTGGTGCTGCTGCTGCTGTTGCTGGCCCGATCCCGGGAGGTCCGGTCGAGCGGCGCAGGGCGCAGGCCCGGGCGAGGCCTCGCGGCTCCTCGGCGGGGGCCGCGAGGCTTGCGCAGAGGGGCCGCCCAGGGCCCGGCGGAGCGGCGCCTCGGGCGCACCTCTCAGGGCGCCAACATCGCAGAGCGGATTCCTTTCGGAGAAGGATAGGGTGAGCCCAGCTTGTCCTGGAGAGTGCCGTTCCGGATGTCGAGGTGAGCTTCGTTCGACTTGTTTGGGGCCAGGAATGGAATTCAGGAGAACCCCACGCGAAACTCACTTTGTTTTTCACTGGCTGTTTCGGGGTTTTGTATTCGGGGGCGGAAAAGAGAGGGGTGATGACTAGGGGGGGGGATATCATGGCGGGGGCCATGATATTTCCCCAGCTTTCATGGCGCCTCTTCTTGTTTCACTACGTCCCTGAGGCTGGCCCCCCCGCTGGGCCGCGCGCATGCCGCCGGTCATGACTTGCGCCCCCCCCTCTTGGACACCTCCCCTCTTGGCCGCTGACGAGCATTGGCAGAGAAAGAGAGAGAGAGAGAAGCCGTGCACGTCAGAGTTGCATTGGCAAAAAGGGGTTGTGAAACCACAGCGAAATGCGATGCGAAGCCTCCGGCGATGCAAGAATGCGCTGCAGCACGTCTGCGAGGTCGGTGCAGTGACCCCTCCCGACGAGGCATCGCGGCTCCCCTGAGGCGTGGCCTCGCGGTTCCTCGGCGGGGGCCACCACCCGCGCAGAAGGGCCCCGCCCGGCGGAGCGGCCCTTGGGGCGCACCGCTCGACGAGACCTCGCGGCTCCCGTCCTCCTCCTCCTCCTCCTCTTCCCTCCTCCTCCTCCTCCTCCTCCTCCTCCTCCTCCTCCTCCTCCTCCTCCCTCCTCCTCCCTTCTCCTCCCTCCTCCCTCCTCCTCCTCCTCCCCCTCCTCCTCCTCCTCCTCCACCACCTCCACCTCCTCCTCCTCCTTCTCCTCCGGGGGAAACCGTGAGCCCCAAGCTTCTTGGTGCGTGGCGTCGCTCGAACGTGTGCACGTGCTCTTCGGCGAAGGACCGTCGAGGAGCGTCTCCGGTCATCTCACGAGCAATGCCGCGCACGAGGTCGAATCAGTTCACAGGGAATGGGGACGTCCGAGCGATGCCGAGGGGGGGGGGTCTGCCACAGTCGGAGTCGTCGCCACTTTAGGTGGGCTCTCGGGAGGCCCAGCGGAGCGATGTCTGACGTCATCCCGCGGGCCCCCATCCCTCTCCAGGGCTAGCCTCGTCCCTCGGTCCCTCGCCCTCCGTGTCCTATCTTCGCAGGGTTTTTTTTTTGTCCTCCGACCCCTGGCTTTTCGAAGAAGAACGAAGCTGCTCAGAAAAGGAGGGAAACCCTGGGATACACCCCAGTAAGGGGGCTATTCGGACACACCCCTTTCGAGGATAGACGCCCTTCCATCGTATATCCATACATTTCGCTCCATACATTCGCACATTTGGAATGTAGGAAAGTGTGGTTCGTGATTTCCTTCCATGTGTTCTGCGCAGAAATCGGATTCCCAACATCGCCGTTAACCAACATCGCCGTTAGCGCGGCCTTGGGCCAGGACTGAGAGTCCCGAAGAGTCCCTGAGATGCACGACGTCTCGAAACGAGACGTCGTGTATCTCAGGGAAGGCATCCCGCTCCTTTGTCGTGCCATCAACCGTTTGGAGGGTGTGTGCCCGTGGGCGTTGGCAATCTTTCTAGGCCTCTTAGGTGGGGTCGGAGTAGATTTAAGTCGGGCGTACCCCTCTAGAGGAGGAGTGCTCACAAATAGTAGAACAAACTTGTCTGGGGACGATGCTCCTTCTATTTTGGACTATGTTGAGGCATTATTTGATCATGTTCTATTGTTCGTCCAAAATCCGCCTGTAGGGGGACATGCCCGACCTAATCTTAGATGGGGAGGGGTAGATGGTGTCGGGGTCGGAGGATCGCGCCGCATCCATCGCCGATGCATACGCGATGCGGCTCGATGCGGAGCCCGATTTGCTTCACGTCGACGTTGCCGATGTATGGCCCGCGTCGACGATGCATCGCCTGTGTATTGCCGATGCACCGCCGACGCATCGGCGATGCGGCGCGACCCTCCGACCCCATCCAGGAGGCCTCTGATCTCTGTTCGCACGGGCCAGGCGTGTCCCCGGGCAGTGCTCGAGGGGTTGGAGGTCCTGGCCCTGGCCCTCGGCGTCCTCGGGCTGAGCGGGGGGGCCCCCCGGCCCCCAGGCCCCCCAGCGACCTGAGTGCCCAGAGGCCCCCGATAGGGGCAATGCGCCCGTGGCCGCGGAGTCTCCCCGCAGCAAGCCGGGACCATGGCAGCAATGGCATTCCAGGTTTCCTTCTGGTGTGATAGGAGGCTCGGCATACCGAGGCCCGTCTTGGACGGGAGCACGGCACGACACAGGCGGCCCTCTTACATGGCAGTGCCATCCGGGGCCGAGACCCTTTTTTCGACCTCCGCCACTTCCTCGCCTACGCCTTCCTCACCCTCCGTTCTCCTCCTCCTCGCGTATCGCCCTCATCCTGCTCGACCTGTTTCCTCCGCCTTCTTGCCCTCAACGTCCTCGCTTTCAAGACGGTGGAGGTCTGGGCGGAGGGGTGTGGAGGTGACGGAAGCTGGGGCCGTCGAAATGTGGCAGGGGGAGGTGAACCAGATCGGCAGCGACACTATCCCTGGGGTCACGATCGCGAAGCAGTACTACGGAGAGGAGATGGCAGGTGGGGGGGGAGGAGGAGCAGGAGCAGGAGACGCAGGAAGAGGAGGAGGAGGAAAAGAAGGAGGAGGAGGAGGAGGAACACAAGGAGGGGGAATTGAGGAATGGAGGAAGGGAGGGAGGCAGGGTGAGACGAGGGGGAGGAGAAGGAGGAAGAGGAGGAGGAGGAGGAGGAGGAGGAGGAGGTGAGGGCACTGATTAAAGCTAAGAGCCACCAGCCGTCAGATGTATGACTTAGGCTTCGCGAAAGAGTGGTTCAAAGAGGAGGTGAGGGATCATAATGAGTCGTTCCCAATGCCCCCCCTGCTGCTGACATTTGCCGACTTGGCTAGGGGGTCCGTTTGACCCTTGCCAGGGCCGCTGCTTGGACATGATGCGGGTTTCCACAGTTGTTTTGGGGGATCGAGGGCGTGCTTCTTCCGCGCAGGATAAAGGGTGCGCGCACGCGCGTCTCTGCTTTTCCTTTTAGTTTAACGGATATCTAGCAGTAGCTATGGCGTCCGAGTGCCACAATATTCATTCACCCAGTTAACCTCAGAGGGATGAGGGACGAAGGAGTTGGCCACTTGGCAAATCACTGGCTATGAGCGTGTTTTCCAAGCCTCCGGGCCATAACTCCCGTCATGCCCCCCGCCTCCCCCCCCCAAAACGTAACGCTCCGCACACCCTCTCGTTGTGTGCCTCCAAAACTGCCACTGTGATGCTCGCTGGCTACTGTGGTACTCGCAGGCTACTTTAGCGTTCGTCGTCGTGTCCGAGGGCATAGCAGGGCCTGCTGACGCTTCCAATGGCCTCCAGGGACCTGAGACCTCCTGAGACCTCTTTAGACAGACCTTCAGAGGCGTCCGTCGTCGTCGTCACCGTTGTCGTCGTCGTCGTCGTCGTCGTCGTTGTCCTTGTCCTCGTAACCGTCGTCGTCGGCGTTCCCGTCGTCGCCGTCGCCGTCGTTCCCGTCGTCGTCGTCGTCGTCGTCGTCGTCGTCGTCGTCGTCGTCATCCTCGGCGTCGTCGTAGTCGTCATCCTCGGCGTCGTCGTAGTCGTCGTCTCGGCATCGTCATCGTCGTCGTCGTTGTCGATGTTGTCGTCATTGTTGCCGTCGTCGTCGTCGTCGGCGTCGTCGTTGTCTTTGCTTCAGTCGTCGTCATCGTCGTCCTCGCCCTCGTCGTCATCGTCAGCCGCGTCCGTGTCGTCGTCGTCGTCGTTCTCCTCGTCCTCCTCGTCCTTGCGGCGGTCGTCGTCTTCGTCGTCGTCGTCGTCGTCGCCGGCGCCGAGGGCCTCGAAGGGCTTCCAGACGCTTCCAGAGTTCTCCAGAGACTTCCTCAGGCGCCTGAGGATTTCTCCGGAGACTTCTCCAGAGGTTTCCCGAGACCCCCAGAGACGCTCAGAGGCGGCCGTTGTCGGCCTCGTCCTCGTCCTCATCCTCGTCGTCGTCGTCGTCGACCTTGTCCTCGTCCTCGTCGTCGTCAGCGTAGTCGTCGTCGTCGTCCTCCTCCTCGCCCTCGCCCTCATCGTTCTCGTCGTCGTCTTGATCGTCGTCGTCGTCGTCGTCCCCTTCGTTGTCCGCGGCCTCGTCCTGATCCTCGGCGTCGAGGGCTTCCGAAGGGTGTCGACACGCCTCCAGAAGTCTCCAGAGACTTCCTCCGGCCTCCAGAGGCTTCTGGAGACCGTCAGGGGTGGCCGTCGTCCTGATCGTGGTCCTTGTCCTCGTCTTCGACCTCGTCGTCCTCGTCCTCGTCCTCGTCCTCGTCTCGGCATTGACGTCGTCGCCCTCGTCGTCGTCCTCGTCGTCGCCGTCGCCGCCGAGGGCCTCGAAAGACCCTCAGACGCCTCCAGAGGCCTCCAGAAACCTCCTTAGGCCTCCGGAGACCTCTGGAGACCTGTAGAGGCGTCCGTCGTCGTCGTTCTCGTCCTCGTCGTCGCCGTCGTCATCGTCGTCGTCGTCCTGGTCGTCGTCGTCGTCGTCGAACCTTGTTCTTGTCGCCGTCATCGTCCTCGTCCTCCTCGTCCTCTTTGTCCGCGTCCGCGTCGTCGTCGTCGTCGTGTTCGCCCCGTCCTCATCGTCGTCGTCGTCGTTATCGTCTTTGTCGTCGTCGTCATCTTAGTCGCCCTGCGGTCGGGCGCCCACGTCGTCCAGCAAACACCACCACATAATAATTCTCCAAGGAGGATGTGGGGGGACAAAAACAAAGTGGTGCTGCACGCATGCATTGCGCAGTAGACACGCGATGTGGTGCTCACGGGTGCGGTGATGCATACTGCGCTGCGTTCTCTGGTGCTTGCTGTGATGCGTACAAGCGCTGCGGTGCCGGCGCCACACGGGGAAGGGGGCATTACGTCATGCCCCCCCCCCTGGCCACCCACCAGAGCGCCTGTTACTCGCACCACAACGCCTGTTATTATTGTCCGCGGCGGATATTAAATCGCGCTCTATCAACGGAGAGTAAAATCAGAGACCCAGAATGTGCTGAACGCCAACATCTCGAATCTCGATCCAGGTACATACACCAGACCCCTCGTGCCCTTCAACAGGGAAAACATCCTGAAGTGAAAAACCTTCATTGACGACGGTAGATTAGCCCGCGACTCATGGGGGGAACCGATGCAATCACGAATATAGGAAGAGTCCTTCCGATGACGACGAAGGCGACCAATCAGTTCACGTTGGCCAGGGGGACGTCTGGCTGAGCGGAGGCTCGATCGGCCCAAGCCAGCCACGCTGCCCTGGCCATTTGTTCAGCTCACAGTGCTTGCGTCTGGGTCTGAGCTTCCCGAGGATACATCCCCTGGCACGAGAGCTATTGGGGTCATTGTCCACGAGGTTATCAAAATGATGCAAGACGAGTCTGCTGTGGGTGCTATTCTTTTGCTTCCAGAGGAACGACCCGGATGCCTGGCAACTGCGGAAGTCAGGAGACAGGCGCCGCCTTGGAAAGTCCCGGGAGTGGATTGCCTGATTTACAGAATGTTCGCAGCATGCGCAGGGAAGTACCATTCGGGAGGACTCATCGTCGAGCCTAAACACTTGGCTGTCCATGCGTTTCAGTGAGCAGGACGGACCGCCTGAGATGCACGAAGGGGCAAGGAGGCCCCGTGCCATCCCAACCAAGGCACCACACATAGATATTGATACGGCCTACGGGTCAGGCGCGCAGATCGATACTGGACGCATGGCCTCCAAGTCGAGTGCTGACGCGGGTGCTGGCGGCTTGGCCGCCGGGCCCGGTGCGCGAGCGGGCGTCGGCGGCTTGCACTCTGGGCCATATCTCGCAAGGGCGGATGATGCATGGGCGCGCCCTGGGAAGTTCCCGATCGTTCATGGGCGAGGCCGCCGCCCCCTGTCGAGGTCCCGCGAGAATATCGAGCACGACAAGGTCTGACAGGGGCCGGCGCCCGCCAGCAGCATCCGTTGCTGGCCAGTTGAGCGTCTGCGAACGAGAGATGTCGAAATGTCACCGAGTTTTGCGCCCCCGGAGCCGAGGGCCGTTGCCCCGGCAAGGGAGGCCCAAGATGGCCGCGCGCCACGCGTGCTCCGAACGTTGCCCGCAGTGAAAACTGATGTTTTTGTTTCATTGCGCGGGGTGCCTCTCTCAGACCGGACGAGCGAACGGCGTGCGCTCGCGCCCGCGAGGGGGCGGGGAGGTCCCGGGCGCGCGTCGTCGGATGGGGCTCGCCGCTCGAACGGGGGCCGCGCCGTGGGTCCGACAATCCGCGCCGCTGCCGGCCCCCCTTCCGACCCCCCCATGGACGCGGGCGCGCGCGCGTGCCGTTCGCTTGTCAAGACCAGAGGCGGCGCGAACCCCGCGCAATGCAGCAAACAGAATGGGGGGCCGCAGATCAGCAGGGGGCGCAGCGTGAGGTGACACAAGTGCATAAGGATATGCAGCGCGGGCTGCTGATGCTCCATTCTGCCGCCTGCGGCGATGGGCGAGCTTGGGCGGCGCGGCGGCGCGGGGGGCTGGAACCAGTTCCGCAGTTGCGAGGGGCAGCGCGTTGCCCGGCGTCGAGGGCCGACGTTGGGCGCTCGCGCGATTGCGCTCGCGCGCGCGCAGCCGAGTCTAAAAGGGCAAACGAGTTAGCCGAGGACAGGGGCGCTCATGCCGGCGCCCTGGCCAGGGCCGAATTTCGGTGGAAACGAGTCGTTTGGCGGGCTCGAACAATCGTGCGAGGTCTGAGCGAGGCGCGGTTGAATCCCTGAGATCGAGGATGGCGCTGGACGGGAGCGGCGCGAGTGACGACTGGTCAGAGACCTCGATATCTGACGTTCGCGCGATTGAGACTCGCGGGGCAGGGGCGCGTTTACCCTGCCGACGTGAGCTGGGCGGAAGAAGAGGCGGAGCGGCCCGAGAAGGTTGTCGAGTCCGCGGCTGCCGAGGAAGTGGTCGCGGCAGTGCGCCCGTCGAAAAATGGCGGGTCGAGGTGTGAAGAGTTCCAAATCGCCTGGCATTATGTCTCTCTCTGGTCTCTCGCGACTCTAGGCCTCGGCAGCAGGAGCTCGGCGCTGGTCCCGGGGTTCTGGGCCTGCTACTGGCCCAGGCGGCGGCGACGGCGAACCCGCGTCTGTCCCGCGGGGGCCGCAGCTACGGCGCGCTCCGCGTCGCGATGGCGATGGCCCCCGCCGCGATGGCGGGAGCTGCGGCGCGGCCGCGGCCCCGGCGGCGGCGATGGCCCCCTGGCGCAGGGGGGCTCGACGGGGCTGTGGCCCCGGGGGCCAGGGGGGGCTACTGACATCAGCATCGACATTTGCGTGTATATGTGTATGCCGATGTGTATATTCGTCCTCGCTGTCTGATTGAAGGCGCACGCATTCGCGCGCGCCCATGCGCGGCGCGCGCGTAGATATGGAGAGAGAGAGAGAGAGAGAGAGAGAGAGAGAGAGAGAGAGAGAGAGAGAGAGAGAGAGAGAGAGAGAGAGAGAGAGAGAGAGAGAGAGAGAGAGAGAGAGAGAGAGAGAGAGAGAGGAGAGAGAGAGAAGCAAGAAAAAAGAAAGGAAGACAAAACAACGAA